CGAATGTAGCGGTACACTAAAAATCTGGCTGTGGTGACAGACCGTGGATGTGTAACGTTGCAACATTAAAACGTCTCTATCGTTAATTATAATATTTGGACTGGAGTTTAATTATATATTCCTGAATCTAGAAGGTCAAATGTTAGTCTTCAAGTAGATTTTGCTCTATTAAACGGCTATACATTTATTTTTACATGCCAAACGATCATCCACACCGTATCACAGACTATACACAGACTAATGCTTTTACATAAAAATAAAACATGTTCCCTGCACCTTGGGCGTCTCCGAAACATTGATTTTCCGGATTTTGTGAGATGTTTGTTTTTTCTACAAACAATAATAATAATAATAAAAACGATATAATTTCCATATTTTTTACTCAAATACCATTAATCACATTTATTGCTAAGAAGCTTAATCACAAGTGCTGGAGCTTCAGCAATTTACGATTCTGCTTGTTTCTAGGTTCAGAGTGCAGGAGGGTTACTGACTTCTATCAGAGATGGAACTGCATCCTTTCTTAGCCTCTTGAATTTTTTGACTTGCCCTTGTGTTTTTAATAAAGGTGGAAGGGATCGGGTAAAGGAATTATGGAAAATAAGGTAAAATACAGACAGTTTAAATTTTTTATTAGCAAAATTATTCAGCATGTGTTGGTTTAGTTTTGATATTGCCATAAGCAATAATGATATACTATAGTGCCCTGCAGTGAATATTTCTCAACCGTATTTTTCTGTTTATGTATATTTCATGAAATCAAGCCTGGTACATGTATAACGCCCCATGAGTCACATGACGAGAAGCAGAGAAAGCAATGTATTTTACTAATTTCCTAGCAGCCAGTGATTTTAACCCTTGTCAGCTGGACACATAAATTGAGATGCTTCAAAATGATTCTCTCAAATTAGCAGATATTTGCATTGGCTGTCTTTTAACCCGTCAATGTCGGCTCTTCTTATGTTGCAGATCCACTTCCGAAGTCTATGTACATAATCATCTACAATATATGTGTCATGTGATGTGGTGTATTATTTACAAATTGCATATCGTTTTAACTGGTATTTTTCACAGGACAAATGGCAGCAGAATTACACAGATCACCGAACCAAGTAGTGTTTTCCCTAACTTTTAACTGTTAGCTTCACAAGATTGTATATTGTATTAGTTTACATTGATATTATGATTACATATAATTAAACAATCAATAAGTACAGTCTCTGTTCGTGTGCACAGCAGTCAGTGAGTCACTGCATCTGTCATTGCCGTCCTAACGAATTTATTATTTGCAAACGTATATAACATGCAACACGTGATAAATCTAGTACCTATCATGCTCTGTGGGAAACTTGAAAAACGCTATATCTGGGAATATATCTAGAATATATTATGCAAATGATTCCCGTACCGGCTTGAATATAGACACCCCATACTCTCTGTGAATATTGAGTTTATTGAATTTGACGCACGATTAGTCAATATATTAGCAAATATATGCGTGCGGAAGTGAATTACAGATGATTAAATTTCTAAAATTCTAGCTACCTATAGACACATGTCTTAGCTATAGTCTCTGTGAATATTGAGTTTATTGAATTTGACGCACGATTAGTCAATATATTAGCAAATATATGCGTGCGGAAGTGAATTGCAGATGATTAAATTTCTAAAATTTTAGATACC